AAAAAGAAAAAAGAAAAAAAGAAAGAAAGAAAAAAGGAAAAGCACCAAGGCTTGGGTTTGAGTCATCTTCTACCCGCTCAGGGCTTACAAATCTGTGTTGTCAGCTCCATAAACTATGAGTGGTCTCTTCTTTTCCTCACGCGCAGGGCTTCGCGTGGCGCGCTAACGTCTGCTCTTTTTCATTTTCTTTCTTTTTTTTTTTTTTGTTAGTTTACACTTGCGACGGACTTCGCCGAAAGGGAAAGGACTCCTTGTAGTCTATCAGCGCCAAAAATGTTTTCTCAAACACGAGAATCATGCGCTGAGCCGGGCTCGTGTCTGGAGACACAGAAAAGGGAGCAATAATACCATTCCCTCCCCTCGCAGTTACTCTCAATCGCTTGTTCTGATCCCTTTCATCATGCTGGAGGGTCTCAAAGGGGTTTTACGGTCAATGGTTTTTGGCCAATTTACCGTTAGCTCTTTTTTGTACAACTAACGGTAAAATTTGCCAGACGGCTAATTTTTCGGCTGTTTTGAGGCTAACGGTCAACCCTTTGAGATCGTTCCTCATGCAGCTTTGACTTAGACTCGCGTATTACAATTTTCTACTCAGCGTTAGCCCTAATACGAGTCGCATTAGCTTAAAAATAAAAAAAAATTATTAACAAATCATTATGCTTATTTTTTTTCCTTAAGCTAACATAATTCTTAATAAAACGGCACAGAGGTAAACTGAAATTGGAAATCTTCCGAGTTTTTCTGTACAATACTTATTTGTTACAACTAGCTTTCCTAGTTTGCAGATTGAGCAATTGCCAGTTAATGTTGTGAGCTAGTATTTTGTAAAAAAACAAACAAAAAGGAAACTAAAAAAAACATACGCTTTAATATGTTTGTGTAACAAGAAAAAAAAAGAAAAATATCACCAGGTAACTAAAGCTAAATAGCACATGGCGAAATACCGGGTATATATCATAGATTATAGTTATATCGTAAATATTGCCCTGTCTTATAGTGTTTCTTTACATACCAGTCTTCTAATTATCCAGTACCTGCCGCCATGTGACTGAAAAGAGCTGTTACCAGCAGTAACATGGATTTTCGTAAAAAATAAAAAAAAACAAAGCTATTAATAAAACGGAACAAAGATACTGGCAGGAGTTAAGTATTCCACCGACTCTGTGTTGTATTAAAAGTGAGGTTATGATCGTGACCGACAAAGCCCGCCATCTGATTGGCTCGCTGGATTAAAATTGACAGGTTGCATACTTTACCTGTTAGGTCATCAGTCAACATTCGCTCTAGCTGTCAGTGGCTGTTTTTGCCAAAACAATTCTTCGCTATTTGGTCTTTCTTGGTCCGTATGCGATCAGATTTCAAAGAGTTTTTACTCCGCGTTTTTTATATAATTCGGTAGTCATGTTAAATCTTTTCTGTGGTCGAAAAACTAGAAAAGATATATTGTTAATAATCTCGGCCATCTTGGTAACTCTTGCAACAGGTAAGCAAAAATTTATCTTTTGATTGAGTCGCTTCTTAGGAATTATGAATTCATCGTTTACAAAATAAACGAAGTGCGTCTTAGAAGACGCTATCGAGCACTTTATCATGGCTCAAATAATAATAGGTCTTTTTGCGAACAATGTTAAAAATCCACTGAAAGGCTTCACAATACACGGTTTTTAATCTTACCACCAGTTTCACCAGATTGTCACTTGCTCAGCGAAGCTTGACTGTGAGAACAGTATTGTGTGAAAGTTAACTGCGAGATCATGACTCCGTCGGCTCGTTTTAGTAAAAAAATTAACCAGATAAAAGTTTGCAAAGCGAGTCTTTGTGGCTTCAGAAGTTTTCATTTTACCAAAGAGATTGAAATCTCTGTCATTATGTTATGATCGCATTTGTTCACGGCAAATTGAAAGTTTGAAACGATGTTTTTATCGTTGTAGTGCGCTTTTAGATAAATCAATTGAGCAGGAGAATTCCTTAGACACATAAAAATAAATGGTAGTCATGTATACAAATGGGACCAGTTTTCAAAATGCGGATAACATTATCAAACGAAGAGATCGCTATCCTGAGAATATAGTACGTGTTGACAAAAGATAACGCGCTATTCACTGGATAGACATTTATCCACTGGGTAGCGTTATACACCTTTGAACAATAGGGAACGGGTTGGAGAGAAGCAGTGTGAGACTGAAGTGTCTTACCTGAGAAGAGAAAATAGTGATCGGCAACAACCCAAAAATCCTCGATCCATGTGCTCGAGGAAAGCCATTAGGCTTCAGTATCCTTACTCCCTCCTTTCCTCACAACTTTTGACAAGACTCCCTTCTGTAATTACCAAAAAAAAATGTTCAAACATTTTTAGCCGCATTAGGACACACGATACTTGAAGAATACAACTGTGGACAAGAAGACATTGAGTACAATGTTACTCTTAGAGGCGGTCAGTTTGCCGGGATTTTCAAGGACCGAGGACCGGTAAAGAATATGCAGGAATGTATGCATTTGTGCTGCAATACAAAGAAATGTGACGTGGCCATGATGCACGGATCAAAATGTTTCAATGT